CCCGATAGGTGCTTCTTCAGTTATAGAAGCATTCACGACAAGTTCTGAAGGCTCAATCCGTTGGACTGAACTGGTTGTGCTGACAGAAAGAGTTGCTACAAGTGCCTGAGCTAACTTAGGATCCTGGACAGAATTAGCAAGCGAATGTTCTGGTATCGATCTCTCGGAAGGTTGGGACTTTGATTGAGCAGTTTTTAGGGACTCGTTTTCCGCAACATTTGTTTCTCCAGATTGATGGTCACTAGCGGGATTGGGATAGTCTACTGCTCCTGGACTGGGTTCGGCGTCGAGTTGGTCATTGTCAGGTGAAGCTTCTGGCTTCTCCGCAAGCGCTGGATCTGAAAATGGCAGATATTCCTGACCTTCGACTACGGGTTCCGCGTCGAGCTGATCATCCTCAGAGGAAGCTTCTGGCTTCTCTACGGGCACTGAATCCGAAAACGGCAGATTTTCCTGATCTCCGATCATGGGTTCTGCATAGAGTTGATCATCCTCAGGTGAAGCTTCCAGCTCCTCCGCAGACATTTGACCAGAACCTTGCAGCCTTTCCTGTGATTCGGCCACGACCTCTGCTGTGACCGTTTCTGCGGCCTCTTCTGGTGATTGCCCTTCTTTAAGGTCCTCATCCGGATCAACCCGCTCAGCCTCGTGCTCATCTGCCTGTTCATTTGTTTCGACTGTCCTATTCACATGTAGTCGAACTGACGAGGTGGAGGATCTTGGTTTTGGTATAGGTCGGAATCCCCTCTCAGCTTCCAGTGACTGTGATCTGCTGACGAAGTGTGATAGAAGGCTGTGTAAAACGGGCTTTAATCCCTCCAGTAAGTCTGCTTGACTTAAGTTTTCTATGGAGTCCGCGGAAGGTCTCAAGATTCGGATCAGTTCTTCGAGAACTGAGTCGTCCAAGGCGAGTGCTTTGTCTGCTGGATCGTAGGCATAATCCAGAGTTATCCGATATCGGCTTTTATGAACATCTGGTGACGGAGCTGTTTCACCCTGGACGATGGCCTGGATGAAACTGCCGTCATCTGATGTCGGGGTCTGGCCATTTCGTAAAGCAAAGTTGCCCTGAAACCTATTGCAGGCTTCAAAATATTCCTCACTGACGATGGGTTCATTGGCGTTGGACGAATTTTTGCCTGACCCAGCTGGCTGCTGCCTTTTCATCATGCCTCTCGCGGTGTTTTTCCAACAGCAATTACGTGGAAACCGCCCTACCGATGTAAGAGGAAACCTCTGTTTGGTCTCTGCGACATGCGTGAAACCGCCGACCGCAGGCCGGAGGTGAGCGTCTGAACTGTGCGCCTATTCCAGTCACGCAGGTTTATCGATTAGCTTCACGCTCCTACGGCGCATCATTCTGCGTCAGCTGACCCATCCGTCAGCGAACATTTTAATCCGTCTTACACTGCAGCCGCAAAGTTAGCCTTCATGGTCTAAACGAACCAGCTCAATGATACTCTGCGCTCGGCATGTTGAAAGTTGCAGTAAGAAACTGAAATCGATTTTCTAGTGATCGTGCTGGATTCATGGGATGAAACACTAACCCTGGATGTCACTCTATGATTTAGGAGTCTCGGAAACGCACAATATTAAACAGAATTAACTGAGCCGTGCGGTACAGGGCCAAGGTTCGCGAACTACCGTTTCCGAATGCTCCTAAACGTCTGTTGGAGAAATAGATTTATTTGTGGGGGTGCTTCCTTCGGCCGATTGGACGCTTTAGGCTGCGATGTTGGAAGCATCTACTAAATTTAGCGATCGGTCGAAGCTGTCAGTTCAACTTCAAAGGACTAAGATATAGAATAGACGATTTCAGGAGGTAAATAATCACACTGCGAGGTGACAAAAGCATTCCAGTGATTACTAGGAAATGTTTAACCAGTCCTTTCCTCCGAATAATAGACTCGCTCGGTTATTTTTATTCTGGCATGGATGAGGAAGACACCTATGGCCGTCTTAAGAAGGCACCGGAACAGAACCACCCACAGTAAATATGGCTTTGCGCCAAATTCTCCGGAAATTTGGTTTACGATTGAGTTGAGAGTTATGTTTAAGGTTGGGGGTTAAGGTCAGAGTTCGGCTTATGGTCATGAGTATATTAAGAGTTAAAGTTAGGGTTCGTGATAACTTTACGATTTCAATTTAGGGTAGATTAATTGCTATGGCTGTGATTATGCTTGATCTAGCCGGCCTCAGTGATGCCACAGACGGTACTTCTTAATGCATGACGACTGACGGCAGCGGATCTGGAGAACTCCACCCAGTCTCTTCTCCAGCGACGGAGACCGAAGATAGAAGCTCCAATAACTGCTTTCATGTCATGACGGACGGTTTTGAGCCAAGTCTTCAGTTGCTCTCCCCTTCGACGCCTCCAGGTGGGCTGCGGCGCCGGATCGAGGGCAGCACAGCAAAGCTCGTGGGGCGGACGACGGAGAAAATGCCCAAACCACCTCAGCCGCCTTTCTTAAATGGCCTGAGATATCCTCGTGATACGATCGCAGCGGGTGC